CGGGGAGGGGCGGTGTGCCGCGGCGGAGATGCACCGGAAGGAAATGAACGGAGCACCGCGGGCAAACAAACAAATAAACGAACAAATAAACGAGTGAACCAGAACACAGACGGCGCGGTTTGCTTTGCACTTCATGGCGCCCCGTAGGCGCTCTCTCCATGCCCTCGGTGCTGCCGTGCCTTTTTTAGAGGCGTTCGTGAGGGGCGCCCCGGGTCGGGAATGCTCCCAGAGCCGCGGGCTGCCCCGGAGTTTCCTTCTCAGCCGTGGCGGCCGCCGCCTGGTGAGCCCCCGGACACGTCATGTCGCGACTGGGGCTGCTTATTTATCGGCGGGGAAAGGCACGGGATCATTCCCCAGTACTGCTGAGAATGTATTTGTAGGCTACACAGTGCTTTCAGGGCGCGGACCCTTTTTTCAGTTCAACTAAATAGCCTTTCTTCTGACTTCCCAAAAATCGCGAAAACTGCTTGTGAGAAAATACTGAGAAGGCCTTAAGCCATGAAAGGTAAATTTGTCAACGGGATCAAAATTGTTGGGATGGAGTCAGCAGTTTATAGATTCAAGTGTGAAAAGATAGAGAATCCTCGGAGAAAGGAAGGCAGAAAGAGTGAGAGCTACTGGCCTGATGCAAAAAGCAATAAAGCCTGATGGTTGACTACTTCATTCAGCCACGACTGATAAGGTGTCTCACCAACAGAGATTAATGACTCGTTCATTCCAGCTGCTGTGTGAATTAGCCAATAAGTAATTCCCTTATGGCTTTAAATTGTGTGTGCTGTTTGCAGAGTCTTAGTGCCTTCTGGGCCAGCTAGTTCATGGTACTAGTTGCCTGAATGGAGTAATAAAGTCACCTGGAGTGGGAGTGCTAATAAAGGACAGAGAAAAGACCAGACTTCTTGTGCTGCTTTTTTTTTCTTTTTTTTTAACCTGGGGTTTCAGAACTTGGTCTCCTAATAGTAGCATAATTTAGTAATAATAATTATGATATGATAGTTGTCAAGGCTACAGTGTGCTTTAATGCTGGATTAATGAATGGCTATGTTTTCCTTAGAGAGAAGCCAAATGGATTTTGAAAGGCAGTGGAGACAAGGCAGCATAAACATGGTGTGTGCTGGATTTCTGCTCTCTTTGGGAATCAGGAAAATGCAGTTTCTCCACATGTTTATTTTACAGGCTCTCACAGTCTGTAGGAGAATAGAAACATGTTTTTGTTCTCTGGTAATAAGCTTACTGACCCTGTCTTATTTTAGACATTGCATGCGAGTGAATTAAGGAGACCAGTGATACAGTGATAATAGGAAGCTGTTAAAATGTGCTGAAGTCAGACTGGTGATAAGTTTAATTCAATATCTATAGGTAAGTTTAATTCAATATCTATAGTCAATTACTTGCTGCCTAAACCTGTGTTCCTGAGTCCGGGACTTGATGCTTTTGTAAGTGGTGAGTCTGTGTGGTGTGGCTATATTGGAGAAATCCACATGGATGCCTTTGGTGGTTGTAGACCTTTCATAGGTACTTTAGATTTGTATTCTTACTGATCCGTCTGCAGATCAGCTATTGTGGCAAATTTGAAATAAAGTTTCTCCTTCAAAAGCTGAGAACTCCTAGCTTGTGGAATGAAACTCAGCACAGGGCTTCTGTCTTCGTAAAGCCTGAATGTGATTAACACTGCTGTAATATGTACTGACAGCAAAACAAATTCACCAGAAAGCAGTCAGTTAAAAATAAAAGTGATGTCATGCTCTGCCTGTCACTTCCTACAACTGAGGATGGCACAAGGCTGTTCTTTTCATGTATAAAGATGCATCAAAAGTCCAAGGTTTTTATTCTGAAGAATCTTTCTTAGACTGTAGCAAGCAGAAGAACTGAAATTGAAAACAATATTTTTAATACAATTTGATATTTTACCAATTTAGTATTTTACCAATTTGACCATGTTGATACTAAATGTCAGTAATCAAGAGGTTAGATTTTTTTTCCATATAGAACATCTGAAAGTGAGATGATTAAAAAATGAATGTATGTGTACTCAGCTTAGAGTTTCAAATGGGATGCATTTTTCTTGAACGAGAAGTCTGAATTTTTCCAGGGAATTCAAAAATAACAAAATAGCCCATGAGAAGAACAGAGACTATCCAGATGGATTCATACACACCTGTTCTCAACAGGTTCTCATAGCAGCCTGTTCTCAACACTGGACAGCACCAAACACATCAGAGAAAAATACTGTAACTCTCATGATATATGCATGCCTTAGGCTGCCACACTAGATCTCCTCGTAATCCTTCCATTCCTTTTAAGAGAGAAATTTCTAAAGCTACTGGGAAGTAAGAAGTACATTTGTTCTTTTAATATTTTTTGTTTTCCATCTCAGTTTTAATTATATGTTGTGTGTAATTTTTTTCTCAGCTAGTTCTGTTGCTGAGTGAAAAATTAAAAATTAACTTTTGTATTTAACTAGCATCAAAAGTCTGATTGACCTATTGAAAATTCCTTTTAGAGAAGGGAGAAAAGGAATGTCTGTCACTAACTTGTGTTACTGTGTGGTACTACTAAAGTTTCTTTGCTGTCTTTATTACTCAGAAGATCAGGAATCAGAATATGAGTCCAGATGGGCAGGTAATCTCAGTGAAATAAGAGTCTTTTTTGGTAAAAGGTGCCCAGCTGGAGAATTTTGGAGAGGAGGCAGGTGAGGTTTGCTTTGTGATTTGAGGTGTGGGAATGGCACAGCAGTCGACCACAGAGGGAAGTGAGGAATGCCCTCATACAGCAGCAGCAGCCCAGGTTTGTGTTTGATGCTGTCCACATTTTCTACCTCTGAAACTGTTTTCCTATTCTTGTCTTTCTGTTGTTGTTTGTTCATAATTGATGTCAGTCTAAATGGATACTTGAGCAAATTCATGTATCATTAGGATTCAGGGAATTGAGTCCTCTGTCCTGATTACTGGTTTACCAGTAAGCACAATGAAAGCATTGATCCTTTTGTTCCTTATCTCATCAGTGTTAGGCAGAACCAGAGAACACAGCATTAGCAAGAATTGATTATGAGCCAAGTAAAAATGACTGTCCTGCACTTTGTAAAGATGAACTCAAGAGAGATGGATTTACTGATGGATCACTTTCACCTTTCAGTGATTTTTGGTTGTTCTGTTACCTAATTCAGATTATTTCTCTGTTACTGGTTTCAACTGATCCATCTTTTACTGGCTTCTGAAGTATCTACAGAAGGATCTACACTGAAGGATTTTGCTTAATTCCAGTCTGTGATCAGAGTGTTCCTGAACACTTGCATATTTTCAAGGCTAGGTGGCTGCAGTGCTTTATTTAAAGGAGTTTTTATCAAGCCCTTATGTGGATGAAGTTTATGGCAAGTGCAGCAAGCTCAGTGTTACAGACTCACACACCAGCCCAGAGAGATCACTAGCTCCTTGTCAGATAATACTAATTCCAAAGACATTGCATTTAAATTCTCCTGATGGACTGTGGCTTGATATACCTGACATCATCTTCCATCTTTTTCCTGTCTGATTTTTGTTTCTCAATTAGCAGGTTATTTTGACTTGGAAATGCACAGTAGGAGCCAGCATATTTGGGAATGAGGCAGCCTGGTGCTGGAATAAATTAATTTCATCAGTTACACATGCCTTTTTACTTCATTTTTACTCACAGGGTTCAGTACCCCCTGTTCTCTTCTCAGCTGCAATAGTAGTTGAGACAGCTGACATCCCTATTATTTCTTGTAACCCTGGCTTGAGTTCATCCCTCTTGCCAGCATGAGGTTGTAGGAACACCTCCAGAGCAAACAGCATCACACAGATGGTCTGATTTAATAATTTTTCTAAGCTATATCAGTCACACTGGAACAACAACAACAACAACAACAACAAAAAAAAGGCTGTGAAAGGAGGAGTGTGAATACTGTGAACTGATATTGCTGCCTGGTTGGTTGGTTGGTTTGTTTGTGAGTTTGCACTTTGCTCCCAGATTGTTTCTCTGCAGCAGTGACAGAAACAACTGTACCAGCTCCAGTGAGGAGGAGGAGGTGAATCAGGAAGAGCCTGGATGGAATGGAGTGGTGGCTGCCTCATCTTGGGCTGGCTTTGCTGTGCTCCAACAGCACTCAAGACAAACAACATTCTTTGTACTGACTTGAGGCAGTAACAATAGCCATGATTTTATTTCACTGCCACTGCAGTAGCTCTCTGATTGTCCCAGCATGTGGGACACAAATGTATTTTAAACAGTCACATTTACTAAGAAGAGAGATGGTGAATGGATTCAGAATATTAGCTATCTGCTGGAGTTTCTTTTATGAAATATAACACACAAAAAATAGCAAAT